ATTTCTGTATTCAGGAGGTGCAATTATGTACAATAACCAGTTGTTTTAAAGACATTTATTAGGGGAGAAGGCATTGTTCAGACAAATGTTGAAGAATTATGTTTGAACCTGCCGGCCTGTTTTCGAAGCTGAGGCTGTTGCAATTGCACAGGGAAAATACCTCAGTCCTGTTGAATGCCACCAGAATAAGCCTATCCAGAGCACAAGCAGGGCATTCAGTATTACAGTCCTGAACCAAATACATCAATTAGCCATATACTATACAAGTGACTTGAACCAGAATTTTATTTAGATAAGGCAATCAAGTCTTGTGGTAAAAAAAAGTTTGAGGGTCATTTGCTGTGAATATTAGTTGTAAAGATGTTGCATACAATAATACAGCAGTGGAGAGGGCTATATGGTCACTAAATGAAAGATGCTGTAAAAATGTTCTGGATATATTTGTATTTATAGATTTAGATCAGACAAGTTTATTATTGCTGTTGTGGCTTTTACCGTTATCGCTATTGTACAGCAGATAAACCGAAGCATGTAAAAAGCTGGTGACTTTGGATAAATCACTCTGTAAATCAGTGGCAGTGAAGAGCAGGGAAAACAGTCCTGTAGCTTCAGTATGCCAGGTTTCATCCTACATTTACAAGTCTGCAGCTGTGTTATTTGTAGAAACAAAAGGGGCTGCCAATTGGTAGAGTCCAAAGATGACTTACCAGACAAGGTATTTCAGAGAGGCAGTGGCCCAGGTGTTGAGGAGCAGTCATGCGATGAGGCATGTTGCACATCTGTACAACTCACCAGCCGCAATTCAGCAGCGTCCTCCCTTGCAGTGTGCTGTGCAGTACCTGTGTCAACATTACATGGTACCTAACCTGCTGTATCATTTGTAAACCACTGTACAACCCAGCAAAGCAAAATATTGTACTTCTCACAAATTTGGTTAAAATCCTCTAAGACACTAAAAAGAAATAAACCATGACAATGAAAGCTATTTAAATTAAAAAAACAAGGCAATAAACAGGGCAACAAAAAACATAGCAGGTGAAGAAGGGAAGATGACTATTCACCCTCAGAATATAATAGCAAAACCTACATCCAAAAAGGGACGCTAGAAAGTGTTCCTAACCTGACTTTGTATGGGATTACATGCCAGGAGTCTATCACCCAAAACATTGACTGAAATTAATTCCGTATTTATTATGCAAACTGTTGCAGATTAATATAAGCCTCTGGAAAAATCTAAAGATGCATCTGTATATTTTGGAACTCATAGTTCAATAAAATGTTCTTTGACAGAACTAGTCTTGGTGTCTGATGTGTTGGGTATCTATTGAGTATTCTTTGATTCTGTTGTATTAATAGGCAATTGGTGAAATGCAGCCACTTGAAAAAGAAAATTAAATCCAGTCTGAGATTCATTCACACAACAGTTCTCTTCTCTGCAGATCCTTATTACTATGTTACATATAACCATAATAGCTGAGCACGGTCAGTTGTGACTTAAGTGAAAATTCTGTCATTTGTGGTTCCCACTCTCCCGTCCTTTCCCCAAAAGGGAAATTTTTTTGTGCAGTCTTATTTTTGTTGCTTGTTTTATTTGCATATATATATGTATATATACACACATACCTAGAAATACAGTGTGTTCCCTCTTTGTGTAAGTAATGCTGGGGGAAGTAGGCACACATGAGTGCACACACATCCTCCCTCTTTTCTCTGTCCCGTTGTCCTCATCTGTGTTTTGCTGAGGGAGACAGCATTGCATGGGGAGGAAGGGGGAATGTTTGCCATGGCTTTGTGGTTCTACCTGCCTCTTGGAAAAAGTCAGCTCCTATACAGGTGGCTGTCATCCTTTTGGAAGCGAGTTTCACTACATGAGAGGATCAGTGTCGTTGACTGCTCTTCTTTCCTTAGACCATTGTTACAATCTTCTTGCACCAAGCCATTTAAACATTCTGAAGATAAAATCTGAGACTTTCAAACTCGAGATGCCTGGAACTTCAACTTGTACCTGCTGAATTCCAGCGCTACAGACTTCCTCAGTGTATTGAGATTGGAGCTCACATTCGTCACCCTGCTCACAGTAATCATCCACCTGAAGTCATGTGCAAGTGTGGTTTACTCCCAGCAATACTGAGAAAACCTGAGCCTACTTTTCCCTTTGACTATGTAATTTTCCTCAAACCAGGCAGATGGAGTTTCCTACCAGTGCTGTACAGCACTTCACCTTCATATGAAACCCATGTTTTACTTCCAAGGAAAGAATGCAGAGAGTAGCCTTTTGGCTTGAATTGACAAGTCGTGTTGACAATCCCTTTTGCCATGTGACTCCCGATAGAAAGTAGAATAGCCTTTGGCAGGTAGCGTGTGAGGGCCTTAATTTGTTAGAGCCGTCAGAGGGATATGCATTGCTTTCTTTTCTGTTCTGCCTGGTTTCCTGTGGAAATGAGGCTTTTTCTGTCATGCTTTCTCTCTGCCAGCCTGTCCACCCCTATCCTATTGACTTTTTGAATCTGTTGGCCAATTTTAGTCCTATTTAACAGTGAGGCAGATGCCTTAATGATATTAAGGTTCTACCACTGTAATGAAAGTTGGCAGCCAAATAAAGGAGAGATGTAATCAATGCCTGTACTGATGAAAAGGCTTCAGCATGCTCAGCCTTTTCTAGGTATCGGGCTTTATTAGCTCTGTTGTGAAGGAAACTGCCTGTTTTTATACTATGTGAGCATTATTGCGGTGCTTTAATAGGTGACTTTGCTTCTGTGGTTTATCTTGCTATCATGCGTAAGAGCCCTAATAAGGGTTCAAAATGCCACTGAGTATGCCAATGTTCAGTGCGCAGGCTGATACTACCAAATAGCAGTGTTACTAATTCTGGGAGATCATAGAGCTGCATGAGGATAGAGATCTCCTCTTTCACTGCTCCTCCTGACCTTGACTCCTTGGCTGTTCGCATCTTACGGGGAGGCCAGCATCTGCTGCCTGGGGTCTCCAGCCTGGAGCAAAGATTGCAGCATCTTGGGCTGCTGATGCTTCTCCATGCCAGAAACTCTCCTTGTATCATACAACCTTGACCTTCACCAGCTTTTCTCCTATGAGCCGGGTTCCCGCCTGACCCGCTGTGCAGAAGGATTGCTCTGTCTCCCTCCGTTGCTGTGGGGCAGGATGCTTGCTGTGGATGCTGGAGTGACATGGGGAACAGCTCACTTCCTCTCCTGTTCCCCTAGAAAGATTGCCCATGTGGTACCATGGTAGGAGGGAGTAATGGAGATAAGACAAGCTAGTCTAACCGTCCCGTTTAATATGTGGGACAGTTCTATCAGTTTACATTAATAAGCCAGTTTGACTTGCATAGTTCAGACACTTCCTCTCTTACATGGTAATCTCTTACGTTTTTCACCTTTAACATGCTGCAAAAATGTGGAAAAAGAAGTAAGTTTTGACATGTGGACAAAAAATCATAAAGAAAGATTATTTACTTGAAACTCCAAAGAGTATTTACTTGGGTTTGAGCAGCTGGTCCAAGATAGCCAAACCTCTGTACAGAGGACAAATGGCAGAAACATACATTATTTTGAAGTTTTAAATTTATAAAAGGTGTGTATTGGGAATATGGTTAAATATGATACATGTGCAAGTTCAAAAATTATATGCTTTAGATCACTGCCTTAATTGCCTTTTAGACTTGAGGTTTACAATTGACCTGTCAGACTTTTGTAAAATAGGCTGTTTTTATTTTGAGTTATGAATCTGAGGCAGAAATGGTAAAAAAGAAGATGTATAGCCCAGTAATGCAAGTCTTTTAAATGTTCTAGGCTTGGCTTATAATGGTGCTTATAGATGATATTGGTTGAGTTCCTGAATAAGTATACAATAAGTATAGTCTTTTTTTCCTGTAGCAAAATATTTAAACATTAATTAAAGTCAGCGTATCATGAGTCTGTCTTCCTGCAACTTAGTCTATCTCTTGTGGTACCTTTAAATTTTGTTTAGACTTTTGTTTTACTGTCATCTTATAAGTGGTTCTTATCAGCAATTGGAAATAGTAAGGTAGCCACTGCTAATTCTGAGAAATGAAAAGAATAAATATGTGTATGTGCACACCGTTCTCTAAGCTTTTATTTAACATGTTTTTCATGAATCCTGATTTTTTTTTCCTCTTAATGTATATCCTAGTTGTACATGCCAGAAACTGTGTGATGAGTTTGCAGACTTGTCTACTTACACAACTGTTCGTTCTGGATGGTTTTTATTACTCTTATCGTGGAACATATTGCCTAATTTGTAAAATATCAAAAGCACTGTAAAATGAGAGCGAGCAAATTGCTGAATACCACAGACACTTTTTTTTTTTTTGATAAATGACCTCTTTTGCTGGAATACAGAAAACTTTAGGGTGTCTGCAAATACTTTCACAAACAGTTGGCAGTTGGCTTAGTATTGGTCCTAACTAATAAAACACCCAAATCTCTCTGAAATGAAGTATGCAATCAAGCTTCCTTGGCAAATTGGAGCTATTATGAATAATATGACCCCATGGGTCAGAACAAAGCAAACGTAGCACTTTTGTTTTCAAAACTGTTGATCGGTAGGGTTTTTTTTATTACTGTGCACCAAGGCTTTTGACTTTCATAGACTAATTTTTGATTGGTAACGTGTTCTGAATTCTCAAATGACACTATGGCTTTGCACACCTGGAGTACCTGGAGCAGCAGCCTGGCTCTGCTGAGGGTTGTCTGGCTGGAGCTGAGTGAAGGGAGATTGTTTGCCCTGGCTCATGACTCAGAGAGTTTAAATGGATCAGCCACAGGTCACTCCAGGGAATACAGGAGTTTTTGCTTCCCAATTCTGGATTTAGAATATGCATGTCTGACATTTATTTCACACCTGCAAAAGTTATTTGAAAAGTATAACATGAAGACATGGAAAGAGGAGAAAGGCAAAGGGGAGATTTGCCATTGAAATTTTGTTTATATTTTTGTTCTTTTGCTTTTCGTTCCAGTGAAATGAAGCAGAAGTTAGATGAAGAGGGTAACAAGTGCAGCATCCTTTCCAAGCAGCAGAAGTTCAACGAGCACTGCTGTATTCGCTGCTGTTCCCCTTTCACATTTCTTATCAACAGCAAGCGACAGTGCCAAGACTGCAAGTACAACATCTGCAAGAGCTGCAGTTCTTACCAGAAGAAGGAGAAGGCTTGGATTTGCAGCGTCTGCCAGCAAGCAAGGTAAAGGCCTACTGTTCAGCAACCTGTATAATGCAGCTGTGGCCTGACCTGAGCTCTTCCTTGTTACTTGTCAGTAGTTAACACTGGCAGGACAGGACATGAAGTGCCTGTTTATGTAGGAGTTGATTTGTTCCTGAGGTGTGATGTGCCTGTTTTTTGTAGATGTTAATTTGTTCCGAGAGTGCTTGGTTACCTGTTGCATTTTCCAGGCTTGCTTAGCTTGTCTGATGAATCAGCAAGCAGTAATTAGACTTAGCTTGAGCAGGGCTGGAATCTCCTGAAATGCCTGGGTTACTAATGGAACCTGAGCGCAGATGGTGGTAAGGCAGTTAATCATTTTGCAGCAAATCCCACTGGTGGGTGGGGAGTTGAAGGAATAATATTGGTGAATAGATCGTCCAGCTGTGACTGTGTTTTGGAGTGCTTTTCTTAAATGCCAGCTTATTGGTGGGGATGCTTTGGGCTTACTTTGGCAAATGACCAGAGAAAATAGCAGTGCAACCTGTTATAATTCTTAACGGCTGTTAAGAATAAACTGCCAGGCTTCTATTTGCAGAGGGTATCAGGGATTTGCTGTCTCACCCTTTTGAGGCTAACAGGGCCACAACATTTAAAGAGAGCACCAGAAAAACAGAGCAAATTCAAGCAAACACATGACAGCAGCAAAGGGGCCGTTCTTTGGATGGTGACTGTGATAATCCTTCTTGTCTGCATTGCAGGCCAGGTTCCAAAAGCAGCCGTAGCTGTGGTGACGTATCACTGACCAAGGCCTTTTTACTGAGACAAGAAGGGTGAATGAAATAACTCAATTCCTCATAGTTTAATTTTGAGCATTGGTGACTAAAGCAGCTGAGCAGATTTGACAGAGATGGCTGTTTATTCTTTGTCTCTCCCTTTGGTGGAGACCACAGGATGAAGACAAGAGCCGAGTCCCTTTCCAATCCTGTATGATACTCCAGTGCTCACCAAAGACTCATTGCTCCCACTTATTTCCCATCAACACCCACCTGAAATTTAAGGTTTCACGTAGGATCTGTGAATGAAGTGTATGCCCTTTGACACAGGGCCTTAAAATCATGGGGATCCCAGATAAATGATGACATGTTTCCAAATGCCAGCCTTTGAACCTGAAGGAGGTTGTATTCTCCAGGGCACCTGCTCCTTCTCCGCCTTTTACCTTGGAAAACCTACACAGCCCCCTTTCCCCCAGTGAGGAGGCAGAAGAATGACAGGGGTGTCTTTTCCAGTAGCACAAAGATCTGTGGAGCCGGTGCTTTTTTCTGCTTTAGTCATTCGACTGTTTCATATTACACCTCTTTCTTCCGCTTCGCCTGAGTTCACCCATATGGGCAGCAGAGCAGGCAGCCAGGTTTGTGGATGCTGATTAACTGCACTTAAAATAGTTTTTGCTGACTCCACAAAAAAAAATCTCAGAAGACTTTAATTTTAGAGGAAAAATCTGTAGCTGTATTATAAAAATGCTGTTTCTGACCCTTGAAGTCAGTGCTTTTCCCACAATCCTGTGCAGCCCTCAGAGTCATCCACCTGCAACTCAGTTATAAACATTTTATTTATTTATGAGACCTGAGACACAGCTTGAGTTATTTTTCAGTGAATAAATTAACTAACACCACTGCTAATAATTTTATGATCTGGTTTATTGATTGGACTGTGCAACTTAAAAATCCCTTCTGGTCTCACCGTCTGCGTATCAAAAGATTTCTATGCCTGTTGTATAAGTGGGAGCACAGTCACCTCATCTTTTCATGCCTTCACATCTATCTGCTTTGTGATTCTCTCACTTTTTCTCAAACCCTTCGCTCTGATGATGAGTTCATCACCTTGTGGCCTCTAGCTTAGCTCCCTTGAGCCCGGCTGTGAGCAAGGGGGCATCACCTGGTCTGCAGTAAGACATTGTTTGGCTTCATAAGAGGTGCTTTGTTGTTGATGGTCCTTTACCAATGACTTATTAAGAGATATAGACCCAGGCAGCACTCCTGCTTACCTTAATTATGTTAACTAACGGCAACACAGCCATGCTGCATACGCTCAGACTCCAAGCAGTCAAAGTAGTATTCCGAGTGGCTCAAAATGGGTCCCAAAAATTGTCGCACTGGTTGTTTGTAGCACAGATTTATTTGAATGTTTAAGAGAACTGCTCTTTTTCTTAGTTTTCATACTCCAAATTTGACTGCTGCTTTAAAAGAAAGAAAGCAAGATAATATAGTTTATCTTCATAGACTCTCAATCCAGTTATTTTTGAATGTTCTTTATATTTTCTTTTGAGTTTATTGTGGTGCCCAGTTGAAAGGTAGGATTCTGACTAGACTCTAACAATTTGTATCAGTAGCAAATGTAATTATCTTACTAGAACTTGAAAATTAGTTAGAATTAGATTAATTAGACATGCGTTAGATTTTTTTTAACATACATTACAGTGAGACTTGAACAAAATTTGTTGAGGTCTAGTCTACCTGCAGTGCCTAGTACATTTGTCTCGACTAGCATGTATTGGGATTAACGCTAATGTAAAAATGGAGCGATGCTTCTGATAACATGAAAATTGCAACAATATAAAAATCTAGGCTCAGTGGGCAGACAGAACATCCTTCAAATAGACTGGAGCTTCGCTAGCCCCAGGAACAGTCCTAAATAAAATCTTTAGATATCTGATGGTTTTGTTTGGAGGGCCCATTCACTGTGATGTGCTTTAATGTCAGCAGAACTGAGTGTATTTTTGTGGAAACATGGTAAAGTTGACGGTAGATGTGATTTTAGCGTGCCAAAGGATGCATCTCTTCTGCTTAGCTGATGCAAGTTTTAGTGTAAAACTCTTTACAGTCTTTATGGGGGGAAAAAAAAAAAAAAAACACCAAAATTTGGCAAAACCTTGGGATGGTACTTCAGGAAAAGAAGTACTTCTAGTTAATAACTGAACCTTGTATTTGTTTGTTGATGCATTCGGCTGTAACAAAACAGTTGATTTCAGGACTTAGTTGTGGAAAGCTAATGAAGATACAATGCTGCTTAGCAATCTTGTTTTGCTTTCAAGCAGGCTAAACCATCTGGTAAAAGGCAGCTGAAATACCTTTTAGGTAGTCTGCCGCAGCCACAGCTCAGATCTTTGTGTATACTTTTGTAAGAGCTGCATATTTCTGCTGTCTGAGGTCCTTGTCTGACATTAGAGAGAACTTCTACAGAACTTGGAAGCTGTGACTTTGTCATGTAAATGCCAGGAAATGTGTTTTTCCTTCTGAGATAGAATTGCATAGGAACATTCACTTGCTGTGTGGCATAGCAGAAAAGGTAAAGTTTCAGCTCTGCCACGTGCATGTTGGCTTCACTGGACCCACAGGGGCCTTGTTCTGCTTTTTAAAAAGTCCTCTGAATGATCCCATTCATATTGTACTTAAGGGATTTACTAATTTTAAGTAAATAGCCGTGAAAATAATTTTCCTCAGCTGTATGTACTTGTAGAAATTGATGCAATTCCTTCCAAAAATGCCTACTGCTCTGTTCCAATTTTCTTCCTCCTCCTCTTCTCACCATTTCTCTGTTTTGTGTCCTGTTTTTTAATCTCCTTCTCCTTACAATGCTTTAGCATCACAGCAGATCGCAGACACCATGTCCTTTTGCTTACAGTAGCCATGAAGACCAAGGACAATAGCTTGGACTCTGCAGAAGAGCCAGCAACAGTCTTTGGTTTATTCAGTTGTTCCCTAGCTGGAGGACAAGAGAGAAATGTGCAAACTGGTTGTTTTGGCAGGTTGATCTCTGCTGGATTTTTTGCTACCCTGATCTGTCTAATTATTTCTGAAGTATACGCTGTGCAGTTAGACAGAATAAAGCTATACTTGCATAACTTAGAGCAGACTGCAATGCTGCACTCAGCTTTCAGAAAAGTATCTAAAAATGGAATTGAAGAGGAGAGTAGGAAAGAGAGGTCTATTAAAACAGCTAAATACAAGTGCTAATTAGGCAATCTTTCTAGCTTTAAGTAGCCTCGGAAGTGAGTGTGTGGCTGAGCGCCTGGAGGATTAATCTGTGTTTTAGGAGCCCTGGATTCCAGTTTTAGCTGTTCAGCTGATTGTCAAGTGACCTTGGGGAAGTTTCCATGTCTCAGGTTTCCCCATGTGCAGAATGGATTTAATGATGCTGAGCTCTTGGAGGTCAGTGGTTGAAAAGTTAAATGCTATGGCTGTAAAGTGGTAAGTATTATTAATGTACTGTTATTATAGAAGTTTTGCTGCAATCAGCATGGTTAAAACCTTTGCTTTATGTGTTGCAGTAGCACAGAAAACCAAGTGCTTGGATTCCTGTAGGGAATGAATGAGGACAGAATATCACAGCTTTATTTTCAATGTTAATATGTAAATGCTTGCCTGTGTTTGGCCCCACCTACCTTCAGCAAGTCATAGAAAAAGAAGTTATCAAACATTTTCCCTAGTAGGAATAAATATTATGTAAATAGTGTGCAAAAATATTGAGACTGCTGAACTGGGAAGAGGGGAACATGGAAGGATGTAACACAGTTTTTCCATGTAATAAGCAGCATACAAATTGTAGATTGGACTTATTTAACCTTTCAGTTTTGCAGAAGCTGAGGGACTTTCAGTGGAGGTGACAAATTGAAAGCTAATAAAAAATACACGGGATTCTTCAACTGTGGGCACTTAAGTGGCAAGTGAGAACATCACCACTTACAGTAGCTGAGATAGGAAATCTTAAGTATCGAGCAGAGTTTAGGGAAGAATTTCCCATGCATTAATTCTGTAACTGGGACTTCACGTGCTCCGCACCCTGTCACTGACTACTGTTGCAGGAACAGGCTTGGAGGGCTGTGGTCCATCACAGCCCCTGCATTGGGTTGGTGACAGTCAGGGAAGATGTAGGGTTCATGGTGGCCAAACAAGAGATGGCAATATCTAATTAGAGGGCTCAAATTTACAAATATGGTGGTCTGGCTTCCTCGGCGGAACACTTTCCCTTTGGGGAAGCAA